TTTTTTTTTTTTTCGGTTTAATCGACGACCGGGAGGGAACCACTTTCGCATTACTTCCTCCCGGCCGCCATCGTTTATTTAAATAAATGTACACAAGGTTATGGGGGAAGACAGGGCCAATCTCCCCGACTTGCCCCCTCACAGGGTTATTACAAAGAAAAAGGTACTATAACCTATAAAAAGAACAATTACCATCTAAATAACAAGGGGGAAGACGGGGCTAGTCTCCCCGGCTTACCACATTACAAATATTTAATATACAAAAATACAAGTACTTGTTATACAAAGATATACAAATATTATTTGTAGCTTCCGGGTCCGGCTGAACACGCCTCCCTGGGCGCCCGTTACCCACGTTCTCCGCGACTTGCCAAGCTCTCTCCTCCTCTTCTTTTGCTGACTGGAGGCGTTCGACCATCCTGTAAAGGAGCCTTAGGGACTCTGTTGCCTCACTTATAATTGGCCCACGCAGGTCTGGGTCTGGGGGGAGATCCTCTTCGCGGGGACCGGTTAGGCTAAAGTGTTCTCACCGATAACCTGTGGCCCACGCGATCTGCCAGTTCGACTCTATAGGGTTCCCAGTATGGACAGGACAGCAGGGTGTGCTCGGCCGTGTCCACGGCGTCCCCGCACTGCACGCACAGCGGATTGGTGGCCCTGCCCATTCGATTCAGATAGTACTGAAAACACCCGTGGCCGGAGAGGGCTTGCGTCATCCGGAACGTCATCGGAATCTACGGGAGAGGCCTACGCATCCACCTCCTGACGTCCGGAACGAGACGCCTCGTCCACTGGCCCTTAGGCGAAAAGGCCCATCGCAGCTGCCATAGCCCCAGGGTCGCTTCCCTCTCTATGGCCTTCATCGTGGCCAAAGATATCGGCGGAGCTCCCGGAAGTGCGGGCTGTTCGCGACGCCTCCTCGACCTCGCCCTCTCTTGCGCGAGAAGATCGGCAGGTGGCATGTATGCCAGTAGAAGGGCGACCTCGTCAGACACCGTCCGATAAGCCCTTATCACTCGCAGAGCGACTAATCTTTGGGGGCGTGTTAGAGCGCCGGTGGTCCTCGCCGATGCTGAGACTGCAGCTGACCAAATGGGGGGGGGGGGCATAGAGGAGCTGACTCTCCACTACGGAGGCCAGTAGGCGCCTCTTCCACTGCCCAGGCCCATTGATGTTCAGCTGTTCGGCATGAGTCTTGCCAAGGCCGTCGCCGAAGCCGTAGCCTTTATCGCCACGAGCTGCACATGGGTATAAAAGGTCATCCTAGTATCCAGCCTTACTCCGAGGTACCTCAGGTCCTTCAACAGGGCGATCGCGTGACCGCCGACCTCGAGGCGAGGGGGGACGAATGCCCACCTCCTTGATAGCATGACTGCCTCGGTCTTGTGATGAGCAAGCTCGAGACCCCTGCTCGTCATCCAGGCGTCGATGGACCGGAGTACCGGGTTGACAACGTCCTCCAAAAACTGGCCCGTGCTGACCACGCCCACAACCGTAAGATCGTCGGCGAACCCTACAAGGTGGACTCCACGTGGAACGTTCATCTCTAGGAGAGAGTCGTAGGCGACGTTCCACAATGTAGGGCCCAAGACCGACCCCTGCGGAACCCCACAAGTGACCGGCCGCGGAGTCATCTCTTCACCGGTAAGGAGCTCCCTGTCCGTGAGCCAAGACCGCAGCATTTCTACAAGATATTCGGGGACGTGTTTTTTCCGGAGGGCTTCGTCGATGACCGGCCAACGGAGCGAATTAAAAGCATTTTTTACATCTAACGTCACCAGGACGCATAGATCCTTAGTACTAGATGCGGCATTCGCTGCAATCGACAAGACCCTACCTACTGCTGACTCGGTGGAGATTCCTTTCCGAAACCCGAATTGGTTCGCCGCCCTTCTACGGCCGCCGTGCTCGTCCAGGTGAGCCTCGAGGCGTTGGAGGAGAAGTCTCTCCAACAGCTTACCCGGAGTGTCTAGTAAGCAAATTGGTCTATAACTAGAGGGGGCTTCGGGGGGTTTATCTGGCCCTTAAAATACCGAATAATAGTTTTACTGCGTAGTATTTTAATTGCGTTTATCTTTTTTTTTTTTTTTACACCAGAATATGTCTTCACCTAGCCTTTTCACCCTATACGTTTATTATAATATAAATTACAAATTAGGGGAGCATGGGGCGTAGTGTTACACGGAGCAAAGTGTTACGTTAACAATTATTCGTATTACGCAGTTGGTAACACTAGAATAACTGCGCAAGATTTTCGGCTTCGACCATGTGCGTACTGTTACTGATAAGCCGGTTTTATAACAAACTTATTTTAATAAATAATTTGAAAAATGTAAAATAAGTCGAAAAAAAAAAAAAAACCATTTGTATTGGTCAAGTTTTTCGTCACAGTTTTTCTTTAAGGTAAGTAATTTTTTTTTCATTATACTGTCTAGGTTGTATAGAATAATATTTCATTGGAATTATCTTTTTACACAAAATAGCTATTGCGTTATAACAAAAATCGTTAAAAATGGACGGTTGGGGTCAACTGTTACGGGGTAAACTGTTATAATGTTAGATTAACATATAAACAGTAAAACTCGATTAAATTCTATATCATTTATTTGAGTGTTTGTATACATTTAATTCACCTGTGCTTATTCAAAGGTTTTTTTTAAATTGTTTTGTACAAATTTGATCTATTTATAGATGACTAAAATTTAATGTAATTTTAATAATACTAGCATATACATTTGACACCTTATAATAATATAAAATAAAGTATTATTAAAAGTTAAATATTCCTAGGCTACAATTCACTTTATAGATTATTATAATGGTCAGAAATTATAAAAGAAAAACAGATTTTGGAAGTACACCTCAACATATTTATGACAAGGCAGTGAAAGAAGTGATCGATGGTGTCATAACACTGCGACAAGCAGCTAAAAAATATGATGTAAATGTGATGACCTTACAGCGATACAAAACTAAAATAACAGATCCTAGTGAGTAATTTAAGTTCATTTAATTTGTAATTTTCTTTACTTATATTAATTTGTACATATATTTTTTAGATGTTAAAGAACCAGCTTCAATTGGATGGCGTAGTCACACGGTATTCACGCACAATCAAGAAGTTGAGTTGGCTCTTTATACAAAACAGTCTTCAAGAATATATTTTGGACTTACAGGAACAGATCTCAAAAGTTTGGCTTTTCAATTTGGAAAGGTAAATAATGTTAAAATGCCTAGTAATTGGTACAATAATTGTAGTGCTGGTGAAGATTGGTTATATTCTTTTTTAAAACGAAACAAAGATTTGTCGTTAAGAACACCTCAAGCAACAAGCTTAAGTAGAGCTACCAGCTTCAATAGACACAATGTTAAAACATTTTTTGAAAATTTATGTAAATTATACGATCGGTTTAAGTTTGAACCCCATAATATTTTTAATGTTGATGAAACTGGAGTTACTACTGTACATCGGCCATCTAAAATAATAGCTGTAAAAGGTACAAAACAAGTTGGGGCTATTACATCAGGCGAAAGAGGAACACTTGTGACTGTAGCATTAGCTGTCAGTGCTATTGGAAATACAGTGCCTCCAATGTTCATTTTTCCTCGAAAAAAAATGAAACCTTGGTTCTTAACTAATAGCCCAGTTGGGTCTATAGGAAGTGCCAATTCATCAGGTTGGATGACAGGAGAAGATTTTTTAATATTTATTAAACATTTTTGTAAAAATGTTAAGCCATCCATTGATCAACCTACTCTTTTGCTCTTGGATAATCATGTGTCTAATTTGAATATTGAAGTACTTAATTTTTGTAAATTAAATGGTATTATACTATTATCATTTCCCCCACATTGTTCACATAAATTGCAACCTTTAGACCGATCTGTTTTTAGATCTTTCAAAACATTCACACATAAATTTAGTGATTCATGAATGAGAAATAATCATGGTAAACCAATGTCCATCTATGATATTCCATTAATTGTGAAACAGGCATTACCCATGGCTGCAACTATGTCTAATATTCAATCTGGGTTTAGAGTATCTGGCATATGGCCTTATAATCCAGACATATTTACCGATGAAGAATTTCTACCTAGTTATATAACTGATCGACCACAAGAAACAAATAATTTAATTACTGCCACTCATGATGAGGTTAACCAATATAATATTAGTGAACTACCGATGCAAAGTCCTTCCACTTCACAACTGGATAAAAATCTAACTTCCTCTCAACCACAAGAAATTAATAATGTTTCAGTTACAGTCACTGAAGAAGTCAGCACAATTGGGAATGGACCAACGGTTCAAAGTCCTTCCACTTCAAAATTAGATGACACTAGTCAAACATGTAATAACTTCATATCGCCAGATCAAATAAGGCCATTCCCAAAAGCTGGTGCCCGCAAAACAAAATATGGTAATGGCCAGAGGAAAAGAAAATCAACTATTCTCACAGACACTCCTGAAAAGGATAAAATCGAAAATGAACATAATGCCAGAGAAGATAAGAAAAACAAGGTCAAACCAGTAAAAGTGTGTAAAAAATTGAAATTTGATAAACAAGTTTTTAGAGATGACTCAGACGATGAAACATTTTGTCTAATGTGTAATGGACCATATTCTCAATCAAGAGCTTCAGAAAAAGACTGGATTCAATGCTTAGAATGTAAACTTTGGGCACATGTGAAGTGTACAACTAAAAAAAATCTTATAAATTTTACCTGTGCTATGTGCCTAACAGACTGATCAAGTTAAAATACAGTTCCTATTTAGCTTGTAGGTATATCATATTATATTTTTTAATTGTGTAGTTGTATGAGGAAAACAACTCACAATTTTTATATCTTAATTCTTTACTATTTTAATTGTTAGCTGTTATTAATTATATGAAAAGTTGTTATATGAAAGTAATTTAGGTATTTTATTAATTAAGTTCAAAAATAAATTTATTTAGTTTTTAACCGTTTAACAGTTTTTCAATTGAATATGATGGATGCATANCTAATCACATGTGATGAATGTCATGTTTATAACTATTCATTTTTTTACTACATTATTTATTTTGTCATTTTTCACGTATAACAATATATCATCTAGGGAGCATGGGGCGTAGTGTTACACGGGGCAAAGTGTTACGTTAACAATTATTCGTATTACGCAGTTGGTAACACTAGAATAACTGCGCAAGATTTTCGGCTTCGACCATGTGCGTACTGTTACTGATAAGCCGGTTTTATAACAAACTTATTTTAATAAATAATTTGAAAAATGTAAAATAAGTCGAAAAAAAAAAAAAAAAACCATTTGTATTGGTCAAGTTTTTCGTCACAGTTTTTCTTTAAGGTAAGTAATTTTTTTTTCATTATACTGTCTAGGTTGTATAGAATAATATTTCATTGGAATTATCTTTTTAAACAAAATAGCTATTGCGTTATAACAAAAATCGTTAAAAATGGACGGTTGGGGTCAACTGTTACGGGGTAAACTGTTATAATGTTAGATTAACATATAAACAGTAAAACTCGATTAAATTCTATATCATTTATTTGAGTGTTTGTATACATTTAATTCACCTGTGCTTATTCAAAGGTTTTTTTTAAATTGTTTTGTACAAATTTGATCTATTTATAGATGACTAAAATTTAATGTAATTTTAATAATACTAGCATATACATTTGACACCTTATAATAATATAAAATAAAGTATTATTAAAAGTTAAATATTCCTAGGCTACAATTCACTTTATAGATTATTATAATGGTCAGAAATTATAAAAGAAAAACAGATTTTGGAAGTACACCTCAACATATTTATGACAAGGCAGTGAAAGAAGTGATCGATGGTGTCATAACACTGCGACAAGCAGCTAAAAAATATGATGTAAATGTGATGACCTTACAGCGATACAAAACTAAAATAACAGATCCTAGTGAGTAATTTAAGTTCATTTAATTTGTAATTTTCTTTACTTATATTAATTTGTACATATATTTTTTAGATGTTAAAGAACCAGCTTCAATTGGATGGCGTAGTCACACGGTATTCACGCACAATCAAGAAGTTGAGTTGGCTCTTTATACAAAACAGTCTTCAAGAATATATTTTGGACTTACAGGAACAGATCTCAAAAGTTTGGCTTTTCAATTTGGAAAGGTAAATAATGTTAAAATGCCTAGTAATTGGTACAATAATTGTAGTGCTGGTGAAGATTGGTTATATTCTTTTTTAAAACGAAACAAAGATTTGTCGTTAAGAACACCTCAAGCAACAAGCTTAAGTAGAGCTACCAGCTTCAATAGACACAATGTTAAAACATTTTTTGAAAATTTATGTAAATTATACGATCGGTTTAAGTTTGAACCCCATAATATTTTTAATGTTGATGAAACTGGAGTTACTACTGTACATCGGCCATCTAAAATAATAGCTGTAAAAGGTACAAAACAAGTTGGGGCTATTACATCAGGCGAAAGAGGAACACTTGTGACTGTAGCATTAGCTGTCAGTGCTATTGGAAATACAGTGCCTCCAATGTTCATTTTTCCTCGAAAAAAAATGAAACCTTGGTTCTTAACTAATAGCCCAGTTGGGTCTATAGGAAGTGCCAATTCATCAGGTTGGATGACAGGAGAAGATTTTTTAATATTTATTAAACATTTTTGTAAAAATGTTAAGCCATCCATTGATCAACCTACTCTTTTGCTCTTGGATAATCATGTGTCTAATTTGAATATTGAAGTACTTAATTTTTGTAAATTAAATGGTATTATACTATTATCATTTCCCCCACATTGTTCACATAAATTGCAACCTTTAGACCGATCTGTTTTTAGATCTTTCAAAACATTCACACATAAATTTAGTGATTCATGAATGAGAAATAATCATGGTAAACCAATGTCCATCTATGATATTCCATTAATTGTGAAACAGGCATTACCCATGGCTGCAACTATGTCTAATATTCAATCTGGGTTTAGAGTATCTGGCATATGGCCTTATAATCCAGACATATTTACCGATGAAGAATTTCTACCTAGTTATATAACTGATCGACCACAAGAAACAAATAATTTAATTACTGCCACTCATGATGAGGTTAACCAATATAATATTAGTGAACTACCGATGCAAAGTCCTTCCACTTCACAACTGGATAAAAATCTAACTTCCTCTCAACCACAAGAAATTAATAATGTTTCAGTTACAGTCACTGAAGAAGTCAGCACAATTGGGAATGGACCAACGGTTCAAAGTCCTTCCACTTCAAAATTAGATGACACTAGTCAAACATGTAATAACTTCATATCGCCAGATCAAATAAGGCCATTCCCAAAAGCTGGTGCCCGCAAAACAAAATATGGTAATGGCCAGAGGAAAAGAAAATCAACTATTCTCACAGACACTCCTGAAAAGGATAAAATCGAAAATGAACATAATGCCAGAGAAGATAAGAAAAACAAGGTCAAACCAGTAAAAGTGTGTAAAAAATTGAAATTTGATAAACAAGTTTTTAGAGATGACTCAGACGATGAAACATTTTGTCTAATGTGTAATGGACCATATTCTCAATCAAGAGCTTCAGAAAAAGACTGGATTCAATGCTTAGAATGTAAACTTTGGGCACATGTGAAGTGTACAACTAAAAAAAATCTTATAAATTTTACCTGTGCTATGTGCCTAACAGACTGATCAAGTTAAAATACAGTTCCTATTTAGCTTGTAGGTATATCATATTATATTTTTTAATTGTGTAGTTGTATGAGGAAAACAACTCACAATTTTTATATCTTAATTCTTTACTATTTTAATTGTTAGCTGTTATTAATTATATGAAAAGTTGTTATATGAAAGTAATTTAGGTATTTTATTAATTAAGTTCAAAAATAAATTTATTTAGTTTTTAACCGTTTAACAGTTTTTCAATTGAATATGATGGATGCATATTGTTTAATTTGTTGTTTAAAATGTGTTTGTTTATATTGTTATTATTTAGTATATTAGCAATTATTAGATATGAAAAATTATAAAAATTACTAACTATATTTAATAAGTCAATAATAAGTTAACTAGTTTATTATTTTTGTCTCAGATTTTACTTTAATATTGGTTATAAAGTTATATTTTGTTATTCTAATGTTATGTTTATGCAATTTTTTTTTAATGTTTTATCTGTAATACTTACATCTAATATATTATGTTAACTGAGAGCACTTGAACGTTTTAAATTAATTTAAAATGAGTAGAAATTAAATTATAATAATATCAATTAATTTTAAAACCAAGTGTGTTCACCAACAGGGTATCAAAAATAAAAACTTCAAAGACTGAATATTATTTTAATTTTTGTAACTTCTTTCCTGCTAAATATATTTATAGGAATCCTATTAGTATCATTTTGATACAATATTATTACAATAATTTTTATTATAAGTTTAAATATAATTTGTAGTTTTTCAGAAATAGTTTAGTTTACAATTCAACAATTACTTTGCGGTAAATACAGAGTGCAAATGTTCATAACAAGTAGATAACATTTTTTACATTGTACATTTTATCTAAATATTCATCTTCAATATGGACATATTCAATATTAATGATTGAACAAGCTTACTAAGGTCTATCATAATATAAAAATGTATTTTGAATAACTTGTATCACTTTACCCCAGGTATGTACCATTTAGCCCCGACCTGGGGTAATGTGTTACAAATTGTTTTTTTTTTTTAAAGAAGTTTTTAACTTACAAATATTTTTTTTTTTTACTAGTTATCATAGTTATATCAATCATTGCATGTGTATCTAATGAAAAATAAAAAAAAAAAATTATTTTACTGCACCAGTTTTGTTTAAAATACAAAAAGACAAAAAGTGTATCATTTAGCCCCAGGCTCCCTACTCATGTTTAAAAAAATTAATATTATCTATCCATCAAGAAATAAATATTAAAA